CTCTCTCTCTCTCTCTCTCTCTCTCTCTCTCTCTCTCTCTCTCTCTCTCTCTCTCTCTCTCTCTCTCTCTCTCTCTCTCTCTCTCTCACACACACACACACACACACACTCTCTCACTCTCTCTCTGTCACGCACACACATACACGCTCACTTACCTCGGCAGTAAGGTATTCCAAGATGGCCGCGCTGTAGACCGCCGCAGTAGCGCCTACCCGACCATGACTCGTGGTCCTGTTTTTCAAATGCCTGTGAATTCTGCCTACCGGGAACTGCAATGAATATCGGTCGCATTAGCACCCAAGTTGAAAGCCCCCCCCTCCCCCCGCGACTCGACGGGGGTGGCCCGCGGAAGCCTCTCGCGGCCCAACACACCCGGTATACGTGCCCCTCGCGCGCCGCGAGGGACTGACGTCACTGTTACGCGCAGAAATGTATGTAATACGTGTGCGGTGATATAAAAAGCTCGCCCGCGTGCGTGCGTGCGTGTGTACGTGGACTTTAGATTTCGAGGCGAAAAGGGAACGACCGTTTCGACCAGCGGTTTAGTTTGGATGAACTTGACAGACCTCGTTACCGACGTCCCATTTCTCGCGTTGACAACAATATACACGGTCGAGACGTAGTCACGCCGCAAAATTTTACCTCGCCGCTTGCGCTATCGGGGGAACGGCGTCCCGAGCGCGGAGCAGCGAGTCGATGTCAAATTTGTACTTCGAGGCTTGTCTCTCCAAGTTTTTGTACCCTCGAACTGACCGAGGGCCGGTTTTCCCAGCCTCTTGGTAAGCCAGCGGCTAAATTGCATATCCTATCTTTGTTTGATGGAAAAACGAAGGCATATACGATTTAACTCGGTCTCATTTCTTCCCTTCTTTAACATGTATTAATTTTATACTTTAGACACTGACACAACTCAATTATATTCTACAGCCTTTGGAATTCAAAACGTTATCATGTACTGCGAGCGAATTTTTTAACTGTACTTTATTTTCTACACTGAAGATGACCCAAAGAGACCGAAACGTACGTTTGTAATTAAAGATTATATTATCTTTGGCACTAAAACCTTGTCAATGACTCTTTAATTCAGCTGACTATGATTCAACTATTAGTTAACTTACCAGGAGGTTGGAACAACCGGTCCTAAATGTTGCTCGATTTTGCAAAGAATGTCCAAAGGAGAAGACAAGTTTATCGGGCGACATGTGAATCGAAAATTTCCTCCCAAAACTACAAAGCGAGCGAAACGACCGTGTACGAAGAAAATAGATTTACAATAATAATTCACTAGCGTTAGAAACGTACCGACAAATCCGACAAGGACAATCCGCGGGGAGACAAAGTTACTTGTACTCCAAGACAATGTTTTACGTTTTAAATCTTTGTCTTGAGCCTAATCTACAATGTGCTCTCTGCGTCTAGAAACATTTTACTTCGTAGCCAATAAATACGTTTAACAACTTTGTGCAAGTTGATAAATTGTATATTATACACTGTATAATCGTACACCGTCGACGATTTTTTTAAGCGTTTCGATTTGTTTATATAAAATAGAAAATTTCTAGGCGCAGAAAGCACGTTGTAGATTAGGCTTTAAGGTGACGCACAGTAACTGTCTTGTGACTTAAGGTGGTTATTTCATAAAATCATTTATGTGAGAATTGTTAAAAATGTTTAGTTAATTTTTCACATTAATACATGCAAAATAAGACTAATTAAATTAAAATTTACCGTCTCAAAGAGTTCTAAAAAAAAATGTTAAAGTTTGGTATGTTACACGAAATATTACGTGTAAAACACGTTAAAAATATTACACGTAACAATATAATTCGTTGTAATATTACACATGAAATATTATTTACACATTGTTATGTGTTAAAATATTAATATTTGCGTTTGCAAACGCAAATGATGGCACATTTTTTTAAGGTTAACGGTGAGTGAGATTCGTATGAGAAACAAATATGTTATAAAGTAAAATAGAACGAATAACTGGAAAAAAAATCAAGATGCTCGACCATTCCGTTTCAACAATATAAACAGTTAAAACTGAAAAATGGGAAGAATTATGTAGTAGACATGAGTGTGGTGTAAGAGATGTGGCAACAGCGCCTCAAACTGTAATCTGTCGAATCTATTTTATATTATGTATTAATCGTAAGTGTATTCTTTAAAACAATATTGCGCCAAGATATATTATTTAGTAATTAAGTGCTGATTCTTGTCTGGAAGAAACTTTTGAGCATTACTGTCGCGAAACAACTACCTTAAGAACACAAGACAGCCATTCTGTTCAGACCCTAAGCGTCATTGAAACGCGTTTTGGACAAAGAGCACTTGATGCGCGAATTGGAGAAAAAAATGACGGCGAGAAATTTCCAAGGCTCGTCGATCTTCCGTCCGAGGTTTCGCGATTTTCCGTTTCCACTCGGGGAATTCGAGCCGAAACGCGAAAACTCGCGTTCACGAGCGATTTGCGACGTTGAGGCGCACTTGGAGGTGCGCTCGGGAGTTAATAATCATCTCAAGCGGTTCCTAGGAAAGCAGATAATCGCCCGTCACGTGTTAAGCAACACCCTGTATATACCTAGCGAATGAAGACGGATAAAACTACGTAAATAACGTTTGGTCTGAACGTAGCCGCTCATAGCGCCAACAATGTTCTCGGAGTTTCAATGCGCTTCAGGGGCGTCCCCACCGCGGGCGACTGTCTGGGGCCCCGCGAGAGAAATTTATTTCGGAAGTTGTACAGTGATGGGCAGAATGGTTGCGACACTTTTTTTAAAAAATAAGTTTAGGAACTCGAGAAATAGACCGGGGGAAACACTCAAAATGGTTTCGGAATGGCCATAGTGTAAAATATTCCTCGGGGAACAAGATTTTGAAACGTACCTCTTGAACTAAATGCACCTGAACTAATAAAAAAGTCGCAACATTTTTTTTTAGGTTATGTTCTAAAATCTTTCTGTTCTAAAACCTGAAATGCCCGTTTCTGCCAATGCAGATCAACCTTACTCTCTGTTTAAATTACTCTTTACCTTCCTCCAGTTTTTAAAACTAGAAAAAGATATAAAGTAAGTCAAACCGAGATTAAAGTTAATCCGCATTGGTAGAAACGGGCATAGGAAAATGCTCAACAGCTCGCGAAATGAAAGATCAACGTCCACATCACTCGTTACCTCGAATCCTCACAAGTGCGGCGACTTGGACGACCTAAAAGTCTAATTTCTCAAATTTATCGCTCGCGAAAGATTCGTATTTCACAATCTTCGACCCAAGTAGCACCGATATCAGTCCCGGTAACGAATAGCAACTGAATGACGATGAAACTGTACGTATGATTCCGTGTTATTTCGCGCGCAAAAATTAACGGCTCAGCCAACCGAATCTTAACGCATCGACAATACTCGATCGCTCGCGACTGCAAAAGAAATTCTTTCCTAGATCTGCCCCCGTGCCCGGTCACTCGATCCGTCACTGGGCGACACGTCTAGTGACTTCTGCCGGAACCCTGCGTCAGTAAGGGCCGAACGTTTTCCGGACGGGGTCGGCTCGCCTCTACTACCCGTCCGCGCGACATCCGGCTGCTGTCGGCCGCGGCGTCGCGTCGGTAGCGTCTTTCTCTCTCCCTCCCGCCGAGGCGGAATATCGAGCGATAAGCGGGCCGGCGGCGCGGATTTCCGCGGCGCGTTCCGCAACGCGGAACGGGCCCCCGGGTCCTAATCTCCGCCGCGGGTAAACCGTCGCCGGGAAGTCGCGCGCGCGCCGCCGTCCGCTCCTCGCGGAACGTCCCGGCCGCATTCCGCCTCGTCATTTCGGCATTCGCGTCGTTCCGCAGGGAACGCTTTTTCTCCCCTCCCCCCTGCCTACGGGAAGAAGAGAGACAGAGATGGAAAGGAAAATTCCCGCTCTTCTCCCGGCTCCGTTCGCGGAAGCCGCGCGAGTATCGGACCTCGTCCCGTTCTCGTGCTACGAATATCGAGCGGTTACTATTTGGCTCGCTCTTTCTCTCCGTCCCCCCCCCCTCTCTCACTGTTTCTCTCTCACTCGTTCGCCTCTCCAGCTTTTGGCACAGAGTTTCGTCATCCGACGCACGCCCCGAAACGCGTCATAGAACCTCGCTCTAGAGCGCGTCCCGTCGGCTGCTCTAAAATTCTCGCCCGAAGATTCTCCCGTGATCGGTGTAAGTGCCCAGTTCCTCCCCCCCCCCCCTCGTGTCGCGCTCTCAAGCGCGGTCGATATTGTTGCACAATAATTTTGTCACCGCCGTCACCGGGGCTCCCGCGAGCGACGCGCCGAGAAACGATTCCGGAGGGAGACCCGGGGCTCCCGTGACGACGAGAATTCAAACCGCACCTGAGTCTGGACGAGCCGCCCCGCGGTTCGTCGCCGCACGCGTTCTCTCGCGCGTTGCCCGCGTGCGCTCCACTCGGAGATAAGATTAACACGTCTCCTCGTCGCGGAATCCCGCGGGTCCGACGGGAGTCGCCGGTGGCGTAGCCGGGAATCGTCGTCCCACGGGTCGACTTTCCGCGCGAGGATGCGTGCCTCGCCCCGCGGGGATTCCCGCCGGCCCGGTCTCCCCCGCGTACGCGCGGGGCCTCGTAAACAAAGGCGGGCTCTCGTGCAGGAGCGCGGATTCCGCGGCGTGGCGGACTCTCGGCTAATGTTCAAACGACAGAACCGCGCGCGCGTGATCAAGCGTTCTAATCGCGATGGTGGAAACGCGTCGCCGTCGATAACGTATCGGGAACGGACCGCGACAAATAGCGATAACTGACACTCGTCTCGCGCGGGCACGTGGTCATCCGCTTTCCACTTCTCTCCTCCGTCGGCGGGAGGAGAGGCCTCCGTAATTTCGCCGCGACGCCCGGGCCCAGCGAGACGACTCGACCGCTCGTCCCTCGCCGACGCGGGTCAATTCGAGGCCCCGTTTAATCGAGTTGCTTTTTTTATCCCTTTCCAACTCCTGAAACTGGAGAAGAGGCGAGTCGCGCCGAGATCCAAGTTGGATCCGCGTTGGCAGAAACGTGCGCGACAATGAAGGGCGGGATAAACGCCGGACTCCGATTCGATTTCCGCTTCGACCCGCTCGAAAGACAAAACACCTCTCGCCGCGGTTCTTCCATTTCCTGGTCAAGCGTTAAACAGAGGTTAGCCGACTCTCCGTCTCCTCTCGGACAGTAACATAGAGAGAGACATGGAGAGTCTACCAACCTCTGGTCAACAGTCAACCAGAGAACGAAAAACCGAGCCTCGCCGTTTAATCACGGAATCATTCAACCGCTCGGCGATAACGAACCGGCGGCGCGCGCTTAAATTTGGGGGGGGGAGATCACTTTCGTGGGGCAGGGGGGAAAGGGAGGGAAAAAAACAAAGTATCTCCGTGCCGCGTTACGTAACCCCGGTTTTTGTCCCACGGAATTTTGTTACACGCGGATCGTCAAATTGCATTAGCGCAAATTGCATTCCGCGTCGAAGGGGCGGCATTCCTCGCGCGGGAGATTCGCCTCTCGAAAGCGTCGCCGCGTCCCCCCCTCCCCGTCCCGCGCTACGCGTTCGTCCGACGCTCGGAGAACAACACGCGCGCGCGCGATCGAGGAAAACGAGTTGATCCGCGGTTCGAATTCGCAGCCCCGCCGCGCGTCGATCGACCGTCCCGACGCGGAATCACGGGGTCGGGACGGGAGGGGTACGGCCTACGCGACTGCACGCGCGATCGATGAATATTTACGCGGCCGCGACGCGCGTAAGTACGAGAAAAACAAGCCGGCCGGCCGAGCCGCCGGTGACAATCGTCGGTCGCGGGACGGGAAACAACAACCGGCGGCGAAGCGGAAACGACACCGTCGGGGGCCGCCGCCGCCGACGCCGCTGTCGCGGCAAAAATTGATTCTCGATTTACCGTGCTCGGGCCTCGCCGGGGTCGCCGCGGGGTCGAGGAATCGCGCGGAAACGGTCCCCGGGCCGAGGGGAAGGGGAGCGGCCGGCCGCCGCGGTTTGAAAAGGAGCGATTCGAAAAGCAAACCGTCCCCGCACGGCCGTTTCTCGAAGGTTCGGCGTGGCGCGCGTCTAGAGCGGGGAGCGCGCGGCACAACGCCGCGGCGCGTACGCGCGGCGCGTCCGGGCGAGCCGGCGGGGACCGCCGGGAGTCGGCCGGGCTTTTCGCGCCAACCATGACGATTTAACCTGCAAAGCGCCGCGAGAGCGCGGAGACCGGGGAAGGCGGAGAGAGAAAGAGGGAGACACACCGAGCGACGACGGGGCCCGGAGGACGCGTGCCAGAGAGCGGGGAACACGCGGCACCGCGTTCGCCAATCGATCCCCGCGGCCGACGCGCGACGTCGGGCCGCGAGCGACTCACCTGCAGGCCGGCCCTGGCCGAGCGCGAGACCGCCTTCGCCTTCGCCTTGCCCGAGTCCTTGCCCGCCTTACCGCCAGCCTGTTCGGACACGAAAATGACGGGTTAATACGCGAGATCCGGCCGCCGCGGGTCCGCCAGCGGACGGCGGAGGGCACGCGGCGCGCGGGGGCGCCGGCGGCGGCCGCGGATGGCCGCCGCGCGCGTCCAAAACTCGCGGATACTCACCATTGCGCGACGTGGTTATTCGGCACTTTCACACGGCACGAGAAGACTTGCGAGCAGCCACGAACGACGCCGTCTAAACGCGACGAGCCCGCCAAATGCAGCTTGGCGCTGCGAGCGCCTCCCGCGGCCGCGCCACGTGACCGCGAGCCGGCCAATGGGAGCGAGGCTGCGGCCCGACGGTGGCGCCGCCTGCCGTCCGACCGCCCGAGTCAGCGCTCGAGCGATAAACGGCTCTCTTTCCCTCGGCCGCCCGTACGTTACGTCGCTCCCGCGACCACGTCGGCTCGTATGAATAAAAATCAAGTAAACAGAGGCGAGCGAGCGACGCCGCTCGCCCGCGCGCGCGCGACTCTCGCCGTCGAACGAAAGAAGAGCCGAACGGACGCCCTGGCCGATGCCCAGGAACGCCGACTGACGATTACATAATGTCGATATTATAATTTCCCACTCGACACAGTATAAATGTAACGCGCGTAGCACGTAACGGTCGCGTCGTCGAGTCGAAATGTTGACGTCAAGTGTGCAATCGTCGGTTGCCGTTTACCGGATGATGATTTATTTTTTCTTGTTTTTTTTTTTACGTCTCACGGCCGATAAGCTGTAGCGCATACCGCCGAGCGTGTTGCCAAGCATATGGCACCCGCCGCACGAAATTCATAGGAATTGAATTATTGACTTGATTCTCCCCGTTAGCACGTTAGTTGCTCGCCCTTCCCTCGCAACATTTCTGCGAGACTCCCTTCGGAAGGAGGAATTACACGCGGAGCACGAAGCGGCGTTTTGCACATCGACGTTTAAATGTCGTTTGTGAGCACAGATGTGTATCAGATGGGATTACATCATAAACTGTTCTTCGCGTCAATAGTATCGTATAACGATTGTGTTATCAACAATGGTGGTGCGATCGTTCCCGTGGTGCGACACGTGTTTGCAAAATGGGTATCAGTGAACGTTATCGATAACACGATTATCGTGCAACAGCGCACCTTCATTTCAGTCCAATTTTCGCGAATCAAAGGCACACTTTTATCATCTCGGGCACATCGACGAGTCGTAGACGCGAGATAAGCGTCCGGGGGTCAATTCCTGTATCTTACAGCGAACTCGGTTGCTGGCACTAGTGCACGCTGAGTGCATGCTAAAGGCTTGTTTTCCGTTCCTACACTGGTGAACTAGTGCAATAAATTGAGTAAGACAAGCATATTTTTTCTCATTCTAGTTTACTGCACTAGTTCACCAGTGTAGGAACAGAAAGCAAACCTTAGTCCCAGTCTACAATAGAGATTTAAGCCCTAAGCCTTAAGAAATTGACTAATCACAGTCGCGCATTCTACTCATACTTGACCGTGATTGGCCAATTTCTTAAAGCTTAGGGCTTAAATCATCTATTGTAGACTGGGACTTAGGTGTCGGTCCTTGCTTTAAGTAAGCTGTGAGTTCTTTAAGTAAATGACCAATCACAGACAAGTATGAGGAGAATACTCGCCTGTGATTGGTTAATTTCTTGCGGCTTAAGGCTTACGGCTTACTTAAGGCAACGTTGTAGATCAACGCTAAGGCTTGTTTACAGTCAATTCTTATATTTAAGGATCGTCTTAAATATCTCTTGAAATATTTAGCTAGTAAAATGCATCCATACGGATCATTTTGTGGCTAAACACTCTTCGAACATGTATTTGAGACAAAGTTAAGTGTCAAAATTGACTGTAAACAGGCCTTAGTGCGCACTCGGTGCGCACTAGTACAACCAATCGAATTCGCTATTACACTACAGTGAAAACACTACATCTAACTATCCTCTTAAGCCCAATCTACAATGTGCTCTCTGCGTCTAAACATTTTACTTTATAGCCAATGAACACGTTTAACAAATGTGTGCGTGTTGATAAACTCTACATTATACATCGCACGATCGTGCATTGTCGGCAAATTTCTTAAGCGTATCGATTTGCCTGTATAAAATAGAAAAATGTTTCTCGTTGCGAGAAACACATTGTAGATTGGACTTTAGAAAGAGACAAAGCCGCTCCCTCTTAATATTTTCGCTACATCGTAAGATACAGAATTGACCCCCTGCTGTAAAAGATTCTGCGGCGCATTCAATAAAATTGAAACGCGCGCGTGCTTTCGGCGACGAAGGGAAGAGGGAAAATGAAAACGCAGAAAATGTCAGAGGAACGTGAGACATCGCAGCGTAGGAGAGCTTGGCCAGCAGTGTATTACGTTTCTTTATTGACGGAAAAAGGCAGTGACTCGATACAAAAAGTTGCGTATAGAAAATGGCGCGCTACTCGAGGCCTGGGAATTATTCTATGTGGAACGCGAGCGAATCGGCCGTCTTCATCTCGAGTCCTCCACGACGCGTCCTTGCGCGGCGGAAGACCCTCCACGACGATCGAGCTCCAATTACAAAACCGTCGTCGGACGGCGAGGCGAGCGGACTCGCGGCGGGGCCGCGATAACAAGATGGCGGGCGAAGACACGAACGTCCACCCCCGTGACGCTGTTGAAACAATTGGAATCTGCGCGTCCGTCGATAAACTACCCTGTCTGCGTTTATTTTTAGCCCGCGCGATCGCACGGGCGTGTTTCCAGACGAATCTCTCCGCCTCGCCCCTCGAGCGACAAAACTTGCCATACAATCCGCGGCCCGGGCGGGTCTCCGTTTGCAATCGAAAAGCGGATTTTCCTCTCGCCCGAATTCAAATCGTCCGAGTAAAACAGAGACTCGTCCTTTACAATACGCCGTCGCCTCCGAGCGAGCGGGCGGATTTTTCGCTCTCGCAGGTGGATCACGTGTCGCGTTCGTCCGACACGCTTGAATTCGAATTAATTGCATCACTTGCGACTGCAAGTATCGACGAGCGAGGGCGATTCGATTACGCGGAAATTCGAATTCTCCCCGCCGGACCGCGGTCGCTCGCCCGGCGAGTCGCGTCGCTCGACGACGACGACGACGACGACGACGAGGACGAGGACGAGGACGAGGACGTGTTGTCGAGGAGCGAGGTCGGTTCGCAGCGGCCGGTGCGTATCGGCATCGATGACGATGCCACTCGTCCGCGCGGTATCGACTCGTCGATGCGCGCGGGGCCTGCGCACTGGCGCGCGCACGCGTTGGCGGGGATTTTTCCCGCCATTTTTACCCAGCCGGCTCGCCGTCTCTCCCTGCCCTACCCTGCCCAGCGCGTCACCTGCGTCCTCCGCGCCCTCCTCGTCCGTTCCCGCCATTGTCGCCCGCCTCGCCTCGTCCCGCCGCGCCCGGCCACGCGTCCCGCTCTCACTCTCTCTCTCTCGCGCGCGCGCCGCGTCGCTCGCGCGTCCTCGTCCTGTGAAGGAGGAGGACCCGCCACCGGATCCTCTACTATTTCTCCTGATTCGCCTCCGCCAGTTCGTCGCACTTGTCATCGATGTCGTCCTGAAATCATCGTCGTTCTCGTTATTGCGATTGCGATTAACAAAGTCACGCGACGTTCCGGTAAACGCCGACTAACAGATAACATCGACATTATAATTTCCCACTCGACAATGTAACCGTTACGCGAGGGGACATACATAAGGCCCGGTTTCACCAACGTCGCTTAAAACTTTAATCTTAGTTTAAGTCATGTTTATCTCTTTCTAGAGTCACAGAGAAAAGAACGGATTAAGCTAAGCTTAACTTTAATCTTAGATTAATTCGTGTTTGTATCTTTTTAGAGTCACAGAGAAAAGAAGGAATTAAGCTAAGCTTAAAGTTAAGCGACGTTGGTGGAACCGAACCTAAATGCCTAACCTGAGGCAAAGGCGTTGATTTTTTCCAGGAGGGGAGGAGGCATGATTCAAAATGTCACTTCCAGAATGAAAATACCAGGGTTGGGAAGTAACTCGTTACTTGTAACGAAGTTACAGTTACAGTTACGTTCTTTTTTTTGTAAACTCTAACTTAACTTCGTTACTTTCTGTCCATCCGTAACTGTAACTTAACTTAGTTACATTATGGTTACTTTATATATTTTTTAAACCTCCACAGATCACATTAGGCCTTGCATTTGCACACAAACGCCTTTATCGACGCTTTACAATTCAAATGCGGATTTGATATTTAAAGAAAATAACTGCAAAGTAACGATTCGTGACTTTTTTAGTAACTGTAACTAGTTACATTTTTAGTGAAAACACTGTAACAGTAACTAGATACTTTTATAAAGTAACTTTGCCAACGACAATCCGGATGGTCGAAACGTTGGAATAAATTGTTAAATTAAAACACCCAGCCAGTGTAAAGTCGTCAAATAATTTTTCGTCCTGTTGTTAATCAATTACTGGCGACAATAATATTCTTCTTGTTATTTAGAGGAAAGTCCCCTATTATGAGATAGACTCCTAAGGGCTTCCTATAAGATAGCGGGGTTTCTGTTAAATTAATAGGCATCATCTGTTAATTCCATCGTGAATTTATTGCCCTTAGAGTGAAATTTGTTTAGTGGAAAATTCATTGTTAGATTGTGTAATCGTTGCGAAAGATTTGTGATTGAATTTGGGTGTTGAAAACCCGCTATCTCATATTAGAAATCTACCTCATAATAGAAGACTCCTCTATATTGTTGAGCGGGAAATTATAATATTGATGTTATGTAACTGTAAGGTTGCGCATTTGTCGTACGATAAATTTTTTAAGCGTGTCGATTAAGCGCCTACAAGGTAGAACATTTCCCTGGGCGGAGGAATGTTCCTTTCGTTCCCTTTTCTTCTTAATTACGATAACATTTCTCGAGAGACTAATAAGTGCGAGATGCAAAGTTTGCCGCTCGCGACTATACAAATGTATATAAACGTCGGTTTGAGAGTAAAAAAGCTACACGCGGAGTAAAAAGTTGCTCGCACGGTCGTTAAAGAACGTGAATCCGTTGCTATTTTAAGAATCAGACCGAGCGATTATCTTACTGCTTGTCTAATCCCCGGTAAACACCAACTAGCAGTAACGTTACATCGATATATAAGTTCCTACTCAGCAATGTAACTGTTCTGTGCAACGTTCATTATATCGCACTTGTATTGTCGAATGGGAAATTATAATATTGACGTAATGTCACCGTCAGTTGGTGTTTACCAGGCTGTCGCCTATGTTTTATGTGCACCTAATTAACAAACAAAATAAATCGCAAATCTTTAATTTACAAATTTCATATACGCCCATTATATTCGTGTACTTAAACATGTGCATTCAAATAAAACGTATAATAATACAATCGTGACATTTATATCGAAATACTTGCGAAACAATTTCGGAGAGAGAGAGAATAGAATCTTCATTTATTAAAAGGGACAAGTCCCCTGCAGCGTTCAACAAGCTGCACAGAAAAATAATTACGAGTGAGAATGAGCTTTTGTATAATAAAAAAATTGAATATAGAAAAATGTTTAGAATATAAAAACAAGGATAATATTAATAGAAAGATGTTGCAGATTACAATTGACTAATTACCGCACCCTAGAATAAAAAATACTAATAAAAGAGAGAATATGAAATATTATGGAGAAAGAAAGAGAGAGAGAGAGATATGTACGTATCTGCACAGAGCAAAAGTGTCAAATCAAAACTTATATTTAATAATAAGTATTTAATAGTCTTAAATTTCAATAATATTGCAGTCTCATTTAAATACTAATACTAAAAAAATAGATCTTGCAACTGCAGCAATAATTTCCTAGTTACGAAAAAATGACTGAGATATTGTATAAATAAATAGCCAATACCGCGAAGTCGCATGCTTTTATTTATGCATTTAGTCAATTTAAATTTTAAATAACATAGACAGAATTTATGCCTGAACTGTTAGTGAAAGTTAGAAAGAAAGTCTTTCCGCGGCACCCATCCGTTATAAAGTTTGATTGTGGTACAACACCTGTATTCCTTACAAGGATTGTTCTAGCTGTGGTACCAAAATTTATTTTTATCCAATGTAGAGATTAATATATTTGGTCGTGAAACTTAAACTTTCCTATTACTAGAATGTTGCTGCTATAAATTCTGTAGGCTACAAACAATTTTCTAGCGGATACGAAAAATAGCGATAAGTTTTTGCGACACCTAGAAAACTACCTGCGTTTGTAATTAAGATATTTTTTTTAGTAAATACTCTAATATACCTTTGGTATTAGATTAGAAAATTGTTTTTAAATAATAAGAATGTATTTTTCTTGATTGAACTATATATACATAAAGAGTGATTTCATTCAAGCAAGTTTTCCTCGTTTAACGCAGTGTAATCTCATATCAAGATTTCCACGTTGAAACTAAAGATATTTTCAAAACGAAAATGTTCTTTTTTCACGCGCACGGTTAGAAAATTAATCCAGGTTAAAGAAAAGTTATCTCTCGAGAAAAAATAACAAAGGGAGTACCTCGTCGAGCTGCAGACACTTGCCCCACTCGAGCAACGTGATCTTGTGATCGTTATTGGCGTCGCAGGAGTCGAGGAAGGGCGCGATGCAGTGCTCGAGGGCCATCAAGGGCGCTTTGATCGGGAAGAGCTCGTGCCTGGACACCGTTCGGTCGTGCGGGTGGCCGTCCAGGTCGCACCATTTCCAGATGGCCGCGTTCGTCCAGCGCAGGGTCTGATTGGTCTCGGCCTCGCGCTGCATCTTAAGATAATGCGATGACAGCTCCTGACGGTCCGCTAGGTCGCGCATGATGTTGAACAGCCAGTCGCGCATTCGCCTGGGAAAGTCGGCCATGTCCTCCTCCTTACACATCTGCGCACGTCGGAAAGTTTAACGTTTGTACAAAAAAAGAAAGAAACAATGTAATCGCGTGAATGCGACATGCGTTTGCGAAAGCATTGCTCTCGATATTTTATCATCGATCGTTGTTCCATTATTATTAATACCATTTTCAGCTTTAAGCTTAGTTCAATTTGTTCTTTGTCTCTTTCCAACTGTTACTTTAGAAATAGACAAACATGAATTAAACTAAGATTAAAGTTAAGCGACGTTCGGTGAAACCGGGCCTTAGGCTTTACTGGAAGGTTGCTCGATCGCGGCTCGTTGCTTGTGAAAATAATGTTCCGCCACGCGGGATGATACTCACGGGCATCTGTCGGCATTCGCCGTAGTACACAATGTGGACATGCTGATAGTTGGGGCCCCTGCACCTGGCATCACCGGTGTCGCAGAAGCAGCGCGCCTGATAGGCCTCGCAGTCGCTGTCGAAGGTCTCGTTGTAGTTGGTGCAGACCTTGCGGCGCGGATCGACCTCCTGGTTGCACAACTCCACGCAAACGCACTCGGCCGTGCCCTCCTCCGTGCTCTGAAATCGGACAATTTTCACTCTCCATTTTGTTCCCGTCTATCGTAACAGGAGGACGAGATACTCGCTTCAAATTTCAAGACAAATTTCAAGAAATGTCTCAAAACGCGCCTCTCCTTTACCTCCGCATTTCGCACTTTGTTGATTAGATATTACAAGTTGACAAAACACAGTCTGAGAATACGAATAAAGAAGTAACCGTTGAAATTTATAGACCTTGATATAAAAGACTATTTAGAAGACTGTGTCCATTTCTACCAATGTAAAATTAATTATTCTCGGTTCCACTCACTTTTTTCATCTACTTCTAATTCTTTGCGCTAGAAGAAGACGAAAGAGTAAGCTAAATTGAGATTAAAGTTGGTCCACATTGGTACACGGAGAGAATTTTCTCTTAAAATTTATCCTGAAAATCGCGTAATCGTGGACAATAAGGTATTTTACTAGTAAAACGTGTGGTAAAATTTCAAAAAAATCTCATAAAGTTCTTGCAAATGCCACGAATACGTGATTTTCAGGGTAAATTTTCAAAGAAAATTCTCTCCGTGTAGAAAAATGGACATTGGAAATTTAATTCGCGATAAATTTCAGAAAGCATTCTCAAGCTGCTTTATTTCCGCGCGCGTTAAATTTACGCGAAATTTCCTATCGTCGTCGATCGCCTTGCACATATGTATGTACATGTATATACAGGGTTGGGAAGTAACTCGTTACTTTTTTAGTAACTCTAACTTAACTTCGTGACTTTCTCTCCATCCCTAACTGTAACTTAACTCAGCTACATTAATAGTTACTTTATATATTTTTTAAACCTCCACAGATTGCATTAGGCTTTGCATTTGCACATAAACGCCTTTATCGACGCTTTACATGCTTCAAATGCAGATTTGATATTTAAAGAAAGTAACTGCCAAGTAACGATTCGTCACTTTCTGAGTAACTGTAACACGTTACTATTCAGAATTGGTAACTTGTAACTGTAACTAGATACTTGTATAAAGTAACTTGCTCAACCTATGTAAATACATGTATATGCATGTATGTATAAGCAGCGATATGGAGCAATTATCTTTGACACGTGATAAAAGAGAGCCCTCTTGTCGACGACGGACCTTGCAAACACGACCAGCGCCGCAATGTTTGTCCATACACGGGTCCTGGAGCAAACGCTGCCGCTTCGATCCAGCCTCGTTTCTGCCGTTTTCAAGAGTGACCTCAGCCTCCTCCGCCGTCGCCGCCTGCTCGGCTATTTCGTCAGCCTCCAGCATGTTCATGATCTCATCTTGCACGGGCGCCTCCGTCGTGGTCGTGCGACGCCGAGATTTCCGTCTGCGCTGAAAACCGATTGACGTAAATCTCGAGATTTAATACTCTCTTCGCCTTCTTTCTTCCTTCTTCGTTTATTTTATAATATTTCAAGCGACACGAAATAATCGAGTACGGTACAAAGTTTCTCCGCGCTACTCGCGTTTATTATTTTTCCAAGGGACAGAAAACGTTGAAGATTTTTCCTTGCGGTGTTAAATTTTTGAACTACTCGGAACTGTGTTTTTGTTTCTTATAAATGTGTCATATTTAGTTTCTTGTATAATCCAAACGTTACAACAGTGTAATGTCTTACATACAGTTGAATAATTTGTGTTGATCGTTTAAGACATGTGATATTTATTAAATTTAACACAAATTTTTCAACTGTGTACGAATTATTTCGACTTGATCACACAAAAGTACGATTTGCACATCTCTAATTACAGTACGTGTATAACATTTTACACGACTTAGGTACAGCGTGAGAAAAGAACGTAGGGAGAAACTGGTTTAAAGATTAGACGGCAAATTTAAATATCATACTTCAATTTATGTTTCTCTTGTTATATAAATTTTGATTTAAAATCGGCAGTAGTGCGTGGCAATAATACCTGGGCAGACACGTCCACTATCAGAACCGCCAGAAGCAACGCGACCAACAGCAGCTGCAGCCTCGTCGACATTGCAATCTCTGCGGGACAAATCGATATGATGAGTACGCGCGAGGCGCTCGTCTCTTAAAATAATCGATCTAGGGTGGAACGGACCCGATCATAACGAGGTTCGACAGTATCTAGAGCAGTAGTATCGTTATTATTCCAGACACGTTCTCCTTACCGACAATTTACGAGCTCCGTAAACTACGACCCGCGATCCATTGCAGGATGCATTACGCCCTCGCGAAGTCGTTCCCGAGGAAGTTCGGCTCGGACATGTAACGATCCGAATTAACCGTCGCGATTCAGGAAAGAGGTTTGACGTAAACTATTTTCGTCCCCCGCCTCTCCTCCCTCTCTCTCTCTCTCTCCTTTTCTCAGATAGAAGAAAGAGAAGAGTCGACTAAAAAAACTTTCAAAACTTTCTGTCCTCAAATTCTGTATGTAATGGCAAGCAAAGCGGGCGTGTCTAGTAGAAAAGTTAGGGATTTTTCTCGGAACAGATCCAAGTCTCTCGGTGCGGCGAAAGGGGTTAATATCCCCGGGCTAAATCGGGTGCGAGCGGGGCCCTAACGTGTAAATAAATCAGCCATCATTTCTCGCGCGTAATGCTTTATTATTGCCGCGGCGTTTCGAGCCGACGTGTGTCGGCGTGAAAGACGCGTCAACGTTTCCTCGCGCGACACTCGCACGCACGCACGCACGCACGCACGCACGCACGCAAGCGTCGATCAATTCGAGCGCGGGTCAACGCGAGATCAGAGATAAATCTCGCGGGACCTTAATAGGAGCAACGAGACGATAACCCAGATACTTGAAAACCAAGTCGCCTCGGATCACATCCGGGCGCGAGCGCGCTTTTGAGCGCGTTCCGTCGTTTCTTCTATGCGCGTGACGTTCCGTCTCTTCGCCCTCGTTGCCTTTCGCGGATGATATAATCGACTTCGACGCTGCGCTTTAACGACGACGAAGGACGCGTGCATGTAGCGTAGCGTCAGCGATCGGCCGCCGCCTTCGTCAGCAGTGAAATTTGAACGCGAGAAAATTTGCGCGAAGCTCGCCTTATAGATTTGCCCGGTCGTGTCCCAGTAAACCTAACAGTTAAGCAACATCGATAGCTGCAATTCGATAATTTTTCATTCAAAAATATAAATGTAACATACATATGTCGTACATAACAGTTACATTGGACTCAGATGACACGTGTATGAAATTCACGGTCTATGTATGTCGCCGGAACATAAATATCCCGAACGACCGCATGCAGGCGTTTGGTTAATAAAACACCAGCGTTTCCGGTTGTGTGTTGAACGCATTACTCGGCTTACCGCCGAGTGCTCTGTCCGATTGCTTTTACGATTCGAGATGTCCGCAGTTCGTTAAGCCGGCATTTTGGTCGACCTGTGTTATTCACGGGGCAACGCACGCCATTTTTTCGCGTCTCGCCAACGTAGAGGACCTACGTGATACGAACAATCGCAAGGAGATTTGCATTTACATATTGCATATGAGTATTGATGTGTTGTGGAGAATTTTCTCTTAAAATTTACTCTGAAAATCATGTAATCGTAGGTCGACGTGGCATTTTGAAGAACTGCGCGATAGTTCAAAATGTGTGCATTTATATATTTTATAGTTTTATACAGTTTATTTATACGTTTTATTTATACATTTTCCTAATAAAATGTATACTAAGTATAATTAATAGTAAAGTGTATATGGTAGAATTTCAAAAAACTCATAAAATTCTTCGAAATGCCACGTTGTCATACGATTATATGATTTTCAGGATAAATTTTGAGAGAAAATTCTCTCCGTCTATCTATTATCGCCAAACTGTGTTTCCATTGTAGAGAGTTAAAGTTGCAAAACAAATTTAACCGAAAAAATAGGACATAGAAGTAAAACAATATGTTTGGCGTACAATTTAGCTGGCCCAGCTCTCTGAATCTTTGTGTGCCGTAAACGGAGAAAGAACTTGATGAAGCAATTTGGATAAATAAATATAATAACACCTGGTCCGCCCTGCGTTTCTAAAATGTGCCAATTTAGCTACTCGAGTCTCGTAATTCTCCTCGTTGCCGGCTATTGAATCGGCCATATCGGTCGCAGCGTACACATTCGGAGAAGTTAATCTTATCGAGCATTCGCGACTCTGCGAGAAAAATTGCGTAACATTTTGTTTCGACCGCTATTAATACGTAGCCGGGCCGAGCGAGGAGGAGAGGAGGGCAAGTCTCCACGCGACGGGTTAAGGTCTCCAAGGCTCCTCTACATGGCGAACGGTGCCGTTCTCCGTGTCGCGAATCGCGCGGCAGTCACCTCGGCGTCGAGGCGCGTCCGCGGTGCGTCGCGCGGTCCACCGGAAGCGCTCCGCGCCGGGTTCTCCGACGCGGCCCGCGTAGGAATCGCACGCGCGGCCCCCTTTTTTTTATCGCGCGGCCCGCCGACGTGGGCGAGACGCCTCTGCGAGTGGACGAAAGGGACGAAAATGCGATACCGAGTGGGAAAAAAAGAGGCCGCCGTTATTTATTAACTTTGCAACGCGATGACGGAGCTCGCGGGTCACGCGAGCCGAAACTGATCGATACACGCGCGCGCGCGGAGCGAATCCTCCGTAATGTTATTTATATTTACGCAATGAAATGTCTAACGATGTATAAAAAAGTCAGGAGTGGGTATAATTTATTCCGAGCGCGATGAAACGTAAAGCAAACTGCATGCGCGAATAATTGCGGAATAATAGTGCATTTTATCGAATTAAAATCAATATGGACAAAATACTGTTGGTTTTATTTTCTGAAAAAAAGAATAAATATATTAATTATGAATACAGTAAAGTAAATATTCGTATTGATACAAAGGCAAAATATGCATAAACGTTTACACAGAATGTTCCATCGGTGCAATAATGTAGACGGTGTTTATGAAAACGCTTCACAAGCTGCCGTCTATCCAAGTCAGTCATTAGACTCGTAAGACGCTTCATTCTATAAAATTGGGAACGTCAGAAGGGTCGCGTCTTCCCTATCCATCTTGTGTACGAGCTACGCCAACGCGGAATTAAAAGTTAACTAGTTTGCCGACGAGATGCTCGAGCTGAATGCGTTGATTCGATTCATCTCGTTCAATTTGCTCCTCGACGAGCGGAAGTTTATGCGCGACTTGATATTATTACGAATAATAAAACGTATGGAACGCGTGCGTATAGTCTCTAATGGAAAATTGCTCGTAAACCCGTTTCCGTAAAATAATCCGAAGGGACCAGATGGTAAGAGGAATCGCCAGAATTACGTTGGCGCGTAACGTAACGATTATACGGTTCGATCGAAAGTTCTCTCGAAGATAGGAACGATTTTATTTAGAACGATTAACTATTTCCTGCATTATTATTTCCCTACCCAGATAGCATTTGTGTCTAAAAGACATCTTTAAGACGGCATTGCGTCGTCTTTTAGACATGCATTGCTATCTGGGTAGTAGCACATTGCATTGACCAAACATTGGTTAAACGTTGGCCCAACATTCGGTTATGTTGGCCAATATTTAGCCAGTGCACTGTGCTACTAGGGTGGTTTTTGCTCTCACTGAGAAAAATATCCTGGCCTGTCTAATCGGATACTCAGTTACATATTTAACAAATGCATCTATTCAATTAAATTGTACATCCGCACCCATAGAAAAAATTTCCGGATCCAATGCTATTGCACTTGAATGTATCATAAAATAGGATCGATATAGCCAATCAGAGAAAAATTTATTCTAAATGCAAGAATACATAAACTTACATTTATATCAGTTACTCTTGTCTCAATATAGTAAGTCAATCTTTTTTAATTCGATAAAGGAGAATAAGAATTATTGATTTTATTTTGATATTGTCCTAGTTTTATACTAAATAAGGCTATGAGAAATATAAATGCGCCAAGAATATTTTTGTCTCGGTAACAGAAATCCTTTCTGAGGGTGCGATGAAAAGAGCAATCGGGTTTCCGATTAAATTTCGTTCGGGAAAACCGATGGTTAATTTTCCATCGAAAACACTACTTAATCGATTTGTCCAATGAAAATTGGATGGGAATTCAAAAGTAATGCGCGTAATGTTCTTCTTATCGATCTCAGACTTGAACTCCCGAGATAACGCGCGGCATAGCATCGCGGCATGGGAGGAGGTCGAATGTATGGTCTTACTGAAAGTAACAGGTACAGGGCGTCACTTCTATTTTAAATTCTCCAATAGAAAATTGCGAATCTCGCACTTCCAATGCACGCTGCTTGCCACAATTGATTTCTTCTCGTTCACGACTTCGCTGGCACTTCACAACCGAACGAGATCCTTAATCAATGACCGAAAGGTGTTACGATAAAAAATGCGCCTCTTTTCTTAATTCGTACAACGATAGTCGCCCAAGCGAACAAAGGATGTTGGTTTCCGACCCAGAAAGGACATGATTTCCGAGAAATGCCTGACAAGTGATAAGTGTTAGTTGTGAGGACGTCCACTGATATAAAACGTCCATCGTATGCAGTTCTGCAAGTGACTCACATTAACGCTACGCGTGTGTATGAGAGAATTAATACGGCTGAGACACTTTTATCGCGGTGATTTCATTTGGAGAGTACGTCACTTTTTGCCAATTAATTTTATTCGAGCTACGAGACACTTCCAATCCGGTCATAAAAATTGGCGATGTAAACTCGAGAGGCGGATCTATATCAGAGAAGCTAAAAAAAAATCTCGTTGAAATAAAAGACCCACTTGAATCACCCGTGAAAAGATTCCTCCATAAAAAGAGACTCTTTTACACACTGCGAAAAATAACCGATTAAATATAATCGGATAATCAACGGAGGGAGAGTTTGCTTATAGTCACCAGTGATGATTAAAAATTAAAACGGGGAACTTATAGTCAACCCGACTGGCATATTCGAGCCCAGCGGCCACAGTGCTCACATGTGCTACATACATATTTTTATAATTCGACTCTGTCTTAGGTGACGACGATAACTCACTTACAATTAGTACTACTTGATAAGGACCCAAAAAATAGGGTCAAAATGTTGTATTAAACAAATAAAGGAATATGCCAGTCGGGTTGATATATAAGCTTCCCGTTTTAATAATCGGATAATCCCATTACATAATAACAAACGGACATATCCGATTAAATTGTATATTCGATGAAAAATATGATCTGTTTTTCGATCAAATTTCATCGGTAACCGCATTTTATCGAATAAATTTCATCGGATGTGTCCATAATTTAATCGGAAAGTGTAATCGGAAAAATTAACCATCTGAAACACTATTTAATTGATTTATCCGATGAAAACTTTTCTCAGTACAGGAATGCCTGGTATCATTACTTGCGGTACAAGTTCGCAAACAATCATCTTATTATATCAGTTATTTTAAATTAGTGTACTTAGAAAATAAACTTGACACACGGCAACAAATGATGTATCGATAAGATCAGCGTGATTGAAATGAAATCGTTGAAACAACAGCAGTATTAATGAATGAAAAACATCAGATACTTGTTCTCAAAAACTGGATATTCAGTTCGATGCTTAAAATTAATATCCGTGACAAATGCAATTGCATGAATTATTTATGTTTGCGACAGCCCGTGACTTAACATTTAATTCAAGTAATTTTACTTTCTTTTCCGTGCAGGCGCGCGAGACATTTTTAATAATCCACACAACGACTCTTTAACACTGCGAATTATCTATTTGGATAGAAATAACAATTTATCTGCGATATTAATCAAATGTGACAGTAGGTCTTGACGGAAACTGCAGTTTTAAAATAAAAATTCGGCGAGGCGAAAAAGAGAATCGCAGGGCGATCGTACCTCGCGTTGACCCTCTTCGTGATCCGCTTCTGTCGCTCACTCGATCCTCCTCTCTCCCTCTCTCTGGGCGACAAAGATCGAGAAAAGAACAGCCCTCCAAATCGGTCGCTGGACCGGTACTGACTGCGTCCGCGAGGCGTATTGCGGCGCGGCGCGCCGCGCCGAGCGGAACGCGCGGCCGGAGAGGAAAGATGATCTCATCTCTCGCGTTTTTCTCTCTTCCTACACCCCCGTCTGAACTTTCCGCCGCACGCGTATGCGTATGCCTCGTCGTCGCATTCTTACGCAATGCACGCGATCGTCTCGGCGATATCTCGAACAGTCTCAATTCTCGCCGAGACGAATTTCAACACTCTGGAAGGGCTGGGCTCTTCTGCAATTTCTGGTTGCCTCGCAATCAGAAAATCGGGCCGAGCCTCGAGTGAAGGGATGCGTCGTTCCGACGGGCGGACGAACCAAATTACAATTTGTTTTAATCGTGCTTAAATTCGCCCCTAAAAAAAATATCCTAAAAACATTCGGGATTCACATGTCGGAACAAAAATTTTTTAAAAATCGAACGATCATACGAGTGTATTTTCAGCCGCAGCCCCGATATTCCAATCAATAGGCAATTAAAACAATTAATAAAATAAAAAATGAAAAATCTACTTTGCGTTGCGTCTATCTGCGCCGAGATTCGCTCGCGCTTGAAATGTCGCTTCAATGAACAATTGAAAATTCCGCGTGCCGAATATATTCGCGATTATTACCCTCGTCGTAAATTGTATCGTCAAATGCCGCCGTCGAACGCTGACGAATCCGCGGGGCGTTCAGCAGTTTCGGCAAAATCGCTTGTAGGGGAAACGTGACTCTGCGCGCGAAGCCAGCTAATGAAGTCCGTGCCAAACGGGTAGGCGTGTGTCGCGACAAATAAAGAGATGCTATAATAGGGGTTGGTAGTATAAGGTAAGTATATATATTATACTAAATGCAAAAAGTTACAATACATTTGATGTTTGTTTTTCCCCCCACTTTTTGTTCTCCTTTTTTTAACATTATCCTCTCCTCCCTCTTTTATCGCAGTAACGTCGTTTGTCAGTTGGTTGTACACACAAACTGGCCTGGCAGACCGAAATGATATTGTATACTACAAAAATTCACAACTTATCAACCGCCTTCGATCGTTATTACATAGTTATTTGTGTTTTTCCTTCGTATCCTCTCTTTCTCTCGCTCTCTCTCTTTGCTTCGTTCGTTACTTTAATATTTATCTCCGTTACTATTAATATTAATAGTCGCTTAAAAACGAAAACATTCACACTAAAAATTTGCAGAGCTCTCTTTCAAGTTAATGTAAAGCGATGATCTCGCGTAACTGCGGCTTTGAACACGTTGTACTTGAACACACGGATATGCACAATGGATAAGGACGTAGTGAAGTCAAACGGCGCATGTGAGCGTATGTTTGCGTAGAATACTTTATATTATTAGGTGGCACGCGAAAATCGGAAGTCATAATCTGCGATTTCAAATATTAAACGACTACGTCGCTCGGCTTAAAATACTTTCTCTCTCTCTCTCTCTCTCTCTCTCTCTCTCTCTCTCTCTCTCTCTCTCTCTCTTTCTACAACTGCACAATACGCTGACTGATAAACAAGTATCGGCCTTAAGTTGAGATAAGAATGGAGAACGGTCTACCGGTTTTAATGTACAAGAGGACCTAGAATGACATTTCTCTCTTAGCCATACAAGTATCCGATTAAACATGCTCTACATATGTATACAAAGTTGAAGCTGCTGGCGCCTCGGTGTCTCTCTCTCTCTCTCTCTTTCTCTAGTGTCACATTTATCTCCGCGCGCGCACACCGTGAAAAGGGAAACATTTTACCACGGCGGTATTAGTTTGAATGCCGTTTAATCCGACGAATATATTTGCTAAACAAAGCGCGAGTCAGTTTTGCAAAACCTCTACCTCGACCGAGCGCGAGCCGCGCCTAATATCACCGCGCTAAGTTTCGAGCTACGATTCTCTCTTTAACACTTTGACTGCCGCGTTATGCTCGTATTTCCTTGGGAATTATGGCACTTGTGTACGCGAATGGCTATCTTATTTTAATTCCTATTTATCGTTTCGTGAACGTGACCGATGCGAGAGGCGAGGGTCTCGATCGTACACTGAGAAAAATTTTCATCGGATAAACCAATTAAATAGCGTGTCCGATGGTAAATTTGTCCGATAAAATTATGGATACATCCGATGAAATTTGATTGAAAAACCGATCACATTTTTCATCGGATATATCCGTTTGTTATTATGTAATTGGATTATCCGATTATATTTGATCGGGCATTTTTCTCAGTGTACGCGGATGCCATGCTTTCCAAGAAACCGTGGGTGAAGTGTCAGTCCAAGTGTTAAACGAATTTCTGATGAATCAATCAACGTGTCCCATTTAGTGTGTTCGACATGGTTTCAAGAGGATGCGCAAATGGGTCTAACAACTTTTCGAAGATACAAAACAAAGCTGCATTCTTAAAGGATATCGACCGCGCGAGTAAATTTGAAACTTTTCTATTAAAATCCGATTGCGGTTGAACGAAGGTGACACGAAAGCGAAGTATCTCCGAATTTCGCAATCCTCTCTTTCATAATTGCACAAGACACATGCGATATTCCGCCGCAAGGAAGAGAGAAGTGATAAAGTGCTCCATCCTGTATGCTTCTTCAGATTTAATGATCAATTTTCCTTTTTCTTTTTTTTCTATAACAATATTAAAGTATGCCAATTATGTGGTAACCGACAGAAGTCCGGAAATACATTCCCGCGCGTTACTAATCTAACTTGTAAGGGAAGAGGACTCGAGATGGATCAAAACTTCCTACGTAGAGTTTTCTTTTAATGTCTATAACGAAATATAGGTAGGCTTAAGATTGCGAGATATTACACAGTTCGACGAGAACGCGCGTTTGAGACGCTCGTCGGTGTTTTACTCGTCCTTTTCTTTTTTTTTTTGCTACTTTTCGAGAAAAAAGCAAATCGCAGTCACGCGAAACCTGTCCCTTTATCCGCGTCTGCGTCAGAGCGGCCGCGTTGTCGTCGTCGCCATTGTCATTATCGTCTCGTCATCGTCAGTCTGTCATCGTTACCGTCGTCATCGTCCCGACGTTGTGTTAAATGTGACACCAACGTAACGCTACGTGACGAATATTAATCGCTAGGGTACATGCTTAAAAAAAATGTAACGTTTATCGAGGCTGGGCCCCGAAGACGGGGGGATGCGGTCGCCGTGTCCTAGACGCGGGGCGTCGAACGTGTTATTTTTCTTCTTTCAATTACAGACTACCGCGGATGTGAGGTTGCGCTCGCGCGTGATCTACGTTTACAATCTCCACGATGATCCTGATCACGACGAGAAATACAAACTAACGCAAACTCACTCACTCACTCACTCACTCACTCACTCACTCACTCACTCTCTCTCTCTCTCTCTCTCTCTCTCTCTCTCTCTCTCTCTCTCTCTCGCTCTCTTGTTCTCACTCATTCACTCTCTTTCTTTCGCTACTTATTGTCAAACGCAAATTTTTAATGTCCTTTCCTTCCTCTACGACACGAAAAAAGAAAATTAAAAATTTGCTCGACATTACTTTCCGCGACGGTATGGGAGTTGCAGACCGATCGCTTATAAAATTCCAATAGTTTCGTAAAGGAATGAGAGGCTGGTAGGCCGGGAGAGATCGCATCGCCCGCTCTCTGATAATCGCAGGATTCCTGCCGAGCATTGCTTGTGAGCGTTGGTGCTGACTAGAACTCTCGTTTCGCTTCTAAGCGGCCTGCGGCATATGAGTACTGCGTCAAAAAATGTGAATAGATATAAATATTGTCAGGAGGAAAATTGGTGCGTCACATGTCCCGGGAGAAAAGATGTTGCTCTTGCAGTGGTTTACAAAGTACGGAAAAACGTTCTGCATTGTCGCTACGTCGAACGCGTTCCCGCACTGCGCGTCAATTCACATTTAATGCTCGGCGTAACGGGAGCTCCCTGCGATCACCAGAAGACATTATTAGACAGATAATTTAACGACCGGGCAATACAACGTGAGACCGCGCGCGCGATCCTTACTAACTTGACCTAAACAAAAGTAATAAGTCGTGTGTGTGAGGGAAGAGGGAGGTAGATGCTAGAATAAAAAGATACTACAAGAGAGGACGAGAATAGCGCGGAAAGATGTTAGGAGAATGTAATTGCTTCCAGCAGAAGAAATGGGGGTAAGGAAGGTGAGACCAGGAAGAAGGTAGGCACGAACAAAAGGTTCCGAAACTGCAACGAGACGAGGCCAGGATTTGTATGCGGATGGAGCGGGGAGAAATGGCGAGACCAGTTGCTGCAGTCTAGAAGCATTGTCCTGTCTACGATCGATACCGGTCAATCAATGATCGGCAATATAAATAAAGGGACTCGTAGAAGAAAAGAAACTGTCATCTTTCCTTTCATATCTCTTCTTCTGCCGTGCAACCGGGACACAGTCTTGGGATCCTGTAGAATCGTCGGGATTCGTTCCGTGCGATTGCCTACCTACGTCGACTCTTCATTTGGGGCAACGGGACGTCTCTCATCAGCGGCCGATGAGTCGACTCGGAAGCGTACGAGAGATTTACGCATATCACAGCGACACTCCGTGGTCCTTCTTTCGCTTGGTCGCCCCTCGCATGGTTACGTGCTGTGTGTGCGCATCGGAATTCGCTCCGCTGCCTTTTCGTCCCGCGATCTGGCGAGCCGGAGGAAACGCGCGGAGTGACGAATGCTGCGGAAACCCCGAAACCGCCTCACAAAGAGTTCCGACACAATTTTCCCGATTTCAGATCACGTCCCGTCGCCTCTTTCCGTCTTTTGCACTAAAATTTGCCACATTCCAACAACGTTCTCCTGTGAGCTCTTCTCAAACTTGTCGCACGGCTGCACGTTTTTATGTGTATGTGTCTACGACTGCGTTTGTGAATACTTCGCGTCGCAAAGTCCTACGGGATTGCCCGATTGTCGATGTACGAAGGACGAATTCGAACCGATGACTTTTAGATACACACACCACTGAGCTCGCGCGAGGAATGTGATCCTCATCCGAGATTTCGATTGGCACGTCATCCATGTTCGAGCTCATGTTTCGTACGATTTCTTTTTGAGCTACGTCAGCTAATATCGATTGTTGCTGCTGCTGCTTGACGAACGTTGTTGCAAGCGACGTTTAAGCATATGAGGTTGGCGTCGGTGATGAAGTCGTGCGACACACGAAATAGTCCTGGATTTCGATTCTCGAAATGAAGATGGTAGATGCATGATGGTACCGGTGACTTTATTCAGTATAGACGAAATTAGAAGGGGCTCTCGCGACTGTTGCATAGCGTGGCCGATATTAGCGACGGTTCTGGTAGCCGGGATTACTCGGATTGCCTGGCTGTCGCATACCACCACCCCTGCCACCATCGCCACCCCGTGTAAATCCTCCACGACCACCTCGTGCACCGTGCTGTCCACCTCTCATCACGCCTCCAGGTCCACCTGACGCCGAGAGAATGAATTTATAAGTAAAAAGAAATTCTACGGATCAATAAATGTCAGAAAACAGTCCGGAAATTACCTGGTCCACGCTGTTGCTGCTGTTGCTGTTGTTGACCACCCATGGAGCGCATACCGTCGCCGGAATTCAATCTGCCACCGCTACCGTCCAACATGGGCCTAGGTCTCACCTTTTTTTCTTCCACATTTAACTTTTGTCCGCTCTCGTCAGGATAATAGATAGGCTGAAGCAACGATCATGATTAAAGCAACAAGTTCCAGCCTTATGGAATGCTACGATGTATGTCTAAGAGACGAACTTACCAAGGAGCTTAACACCTTGGTCACAACCTGTTGATCTTCGAACGTGATAAATCCATAATTAGGCACGCGAGCGGTATTGTTTCCGCCTTGCGGACCTTTGCATCTATCGTTCGATTTACTGTGCACGCGTAACTCAGCGACTCTACCGTAACGCTCGAATACCTGACGCAAATCGTTCTCAGAGGCGTTGTGCGGCAAGTTGCCCAGGAAAAGTTGGTGAGCGTCGCTGTATTGTCCTGGTCTCGTGCCACGACGTTCTCCATCTAAGAGATTATCATATGTAATATGTAAAATTCTCTTCTAAAGAGAGAGAGAGAGAGAGAAAGAGAGAGAGAAAGAGAGAGAGAGAAAGAGAGAGAGAGAGAGAGAGAGAGAGAGAGA